CGGCGGAGGCCGCAATGAGAAACTCCCACTCACGCTCCTGAGAGGACAACGGAGGGGGGCGTTGGGCGTCTTTTTTCCCCATCCCGCTCACGCCGGGGGGGCCGCCACCGCGGCTTCCCTCGCCCAGCCGCGAGTCCTGCGCGGCGGCGCCGTACTTGGGATAGGGCCCTTTCGGGAGGTTCATCGAGCAGGATGGATTCATGCTGCCCTCGCTAGTGGTGTACTTGGGAACCACAGGACGGAAGTTCAGCCAGTTCTCTGCACATGCTGACTCCGTGTTTAAGTTCTCCTGATCTCCAGAGATAAAAGAGGAGCTCATGATTCGTGCAAAACTATCGCTTCTTTTCCTATACTGGCCTTGTCAATGAATTTAGTGACCTTAACTTTGCCTAAAAAAAGAATAAATAGAATAAAAATGTAGCGCCCCAAATATGTGTATCAGCCTCTTTAAAAATTTTCAGTACTCGAAGCTGTTTAGGATGCACACGTTTTTTTTCCTTGCATTTTAGTTGGTATTTTATAGTGAAAACAGGAGACAAAACGTGGAGAGGCAATGCAAAATGTTATAAAAGATGCAAACGAATTTCGCAAAAAATTACTCTTGTATTCTCTTTTAACTATTCACCAAGGAAAGAGTGAGAAAATGTGTGAAACAAGAAGAGAGTAAAAGGATTCGGTAGGGTATCGACATTCAATCCGATATGAGAAAAATATGAGTCAATTACTACAAACCCTAGAAAAGCAGACCCATAAGATACTTCAAGGAAGAATGGGTGAAATGAAAGTGATGTAAAAAGATTGATAATATGCTGTTTTTATAGAAATATGAGGGAAAAGGCTACGTTCTTTTTTTTAATTTAGTATATCTTTCGAGTGGTTGATAATCTTGAGAAATAAACAGTATTCCTTTATTTTATTCTAAAAACTATAAGACCTTGCTATACACACATATATCTATCTAAATATGCCACAGAGAGAAAGTCATGATTGCTTTAGAAAAAGACAAAAATAAAACTAAGACGAGGATAGTGATTCCGAGAAGCAAGAAAGAAAAGCAATAGATATAAATATAGTTGCACACAAACCCTTTTTTTTAAAATTTAACAGACGTGGTTATATGAGGTGAACAACCGCACTACACTTCTTCCCATTCCCTGAACGTTGCGCGCTACGTATCGGTATTGTTCTTCATCGAGCGGAGGGCGAGGAGGGCGACCTCAGCCACGGCGTTTTTCGCCTCGGCGTGGGCCAGCCACCACTTCTCCGTCGTGAATTTTGCAGTGCTTTTTTTGTTGAGCAGTGGTAGTTCCACGGAGGCGCGAAAGAGCTTTGGCCCTTTTCGTCGATTTCCTCCGCCCTTCAGGACCACACCAGCGGTCTTCAGCGCCTCTTCGGTGAGTTCGCTGGCCATCGTCTCTTCGAGGACGAATCGGCAGCTTTTCTCGGGCGGGGTGTGGGGCCAGCGCTGGGCGCACGTCGCGAGGAGGTCCTCCACGAGAAAATGTGCCTCGCGAATTGCGCGGCGGGACTCCTTCCCCCTGTCCCCCATCCCGATGACGTTCCCGCTCGTTCCCTGATGAAGCCGCGGGTTCCCCCCCCCGCGTCCGACCTCGGCGGGTTGCCGCGGGGCCGATTTCACGCCCTTTTCCCCCCCTCCTCCATTTGTCTTTAAACTTTCCTCCCCGTTCACAATCGCGGGATCCCATGGGGGGTTATTCCGCCGGAGGTCGCGCCGCGCGAGTTCGCAAAGTCCGCCGCCCCGTGTGAAGACTTTCCCATCCTCGAGCAGCCCCCGCGCGGCCACCCACGCGAATCGGAGCTGGTCGAGCTCGACGTAACTAAAGCGTTTGATTTTCTCCCGGGGTTCGTAATGAAGCAAAAAGTGATTATGCCCTGGGAGGAGGGAAAAGCAGGCGGTTTGATTCCGCGTGGGGTCGGGGCCGCCGCGGGGGTCGCCCTCGACCTTCGCCCGGGTGAGGCGCCGCGGGCCGCGGGGGTGGGAGGGC